AGCTGAGGGAGAGTGAGCAGCCTTGTAGGAGGTTGTGATGAATTTTACTTTTAGTAAGGTGGGAGAACTCTGAAGGCTTGTAAGCAAAGGAGTGACATAATCTGATTAGAGAGGGTCATTCAGGCTGTGCGGTTGAGAATAGCCTGTCCTATCCTGAGGTTTGTGTTTTCCCTTCCATCATAACAGCAGCTAAATGCTATAAAGGAAGCAGGAGGGAAAGGCAAGTTGAAGGGAGAGGACAAAGGAATTAATTTAGTGCGTGCTGAGTGCCTTCAATGTGACATATACTGTATTCCACACCTTCTCATGATCTCCTGACACCCCATGGGGTGATCTATTTCTGGTTTTCCTGGAATCGTCCTGATTGACATCTGTTGTTCTTGTGTCTGTATTAACAGAGTTTTCTCCTCTCTCAAAAATGTCCCGGTTCAGATGGTGAATTATATGGTGATCACTCGAGAAACAGGTATTAAATGCCCCATTTCACAGACAAACTAACTGAGACTGAGAAAACCTATGCCACTTGCCCCAATTCACAAAGCTGGTGCCTGAGACCAGGATTTGAAGCCAGACTCTGCTTCTCTGAGTTTCAGTTGTCTCATCAAAGACCACATTTTTCCCATCAAACGTGGGTATTATGATAAAGGATAAAGCATTAAAGAAAGTTTGCTTGTTCTTTTTAAACTTATCTTAGCCCAGCTATTATCTAAAACTTGCTGTAGGTTGTCAAAAAGTTGTTCTTTTTAAACTTATCTTAGCCCAGCTATTATCTAAAACTTGCTGTAGGTTGTCAAAAAGTGTTTAGAAAGACATTTTTGTGGCTAAAGTCTGATAAATACAAATACTTTGAAGCAGAAACATTTTTAATATGATGGTACTGGCTTACATTCTCATATAGTTATTTCTTAATTTGAAGGAAACCACTCAGCACACCTCCCGTGTGCTTGCCAAAACCTAGCATCAAACATTTCTTCATCCACAGATGTGGCCCCAAACCTCACCTCCTGTTATCATCCATCTCTCCTGAAGAAAGCCTGGAGCCAGAAGTTGTGAGCCACTGTGAGCTGAGTCAGCATTCTTATCAGCTCTGGGCATCCCTGCCAGACCATTAACTAAAGCTTCCTAAGGACAACCAACCAAGGGCAATCAGCAGCTCCTGGTGCCTCTCCCCACGAACATGGCAGAAGGTGAACAAATAGGAGGAGGTGTGGAGGTTGTGTGTGTGAACAAGCTTGACTTGTCAGTGCTAGTCTCTGGAGGAGATTGCTCTGATCCCACCAGAAATCTAGCTCAGCCCCCAAAGAGTAATGATTTATAGACTAATAGTCTTAAAAATCCTTTTCTTTTTAAACCTTTCCAGTAATCTTTTGAAAAGAAGAGGAAAAGTCACAAAATTAATTGGCTCAGAGTGTAAGTGCCAACCGCAAGGAAATGCATTCTTTTTGTGCTACTAAATTAAAAAAATATATAACTCTCCAGTGTGTCTCTAGGTCTCTGTCCAGCCGGGCAACACTAAGCATTAATTGCTCCATTTAAAAAAATTCCTTCGCATCATTCTCTGTGTTCTTTCCTGGGTTGGCTTTAGAGTGTTTTGACAGACGGACAGACAATCCCAAAATATTGAAGATCAACTCTTCCTTACTTCTCCTCTCAAACTCAAACCGGAGAAGCAATAATTCAGTGGTGTGCATCTGCTATGGCTTCCCTTGATGTCACAGGAATAGTAAATGAACCTCTTGCTGGCACCAAGAATGACTTTCAGAGTCATACGCATCAGATCCAAACTGCTCACCAGTAAGTTTTGATCCCTAGTTAATGCTTAAACATTGAGATATCATTATTTTTTCATTTTCTTATTTTAATGATTTTCTCCTAAATGAGCAAGTATCCAGTCTGGGAAAGGGGCAGCTGGATTGATTTTCATCCAGCTGAGAAAAATGAGAAGACTGGATCAGATTAGCTCTAGATATCATGTGTCACATTATATTGTTTTGTAGGAGAAAATGCCTTAAGAAATGGTTGGTGTGCTTCAGCTAAGAAATTAGCACTTTAAATAAGAAATGTTAATGGATAGAATTTGATGAGCTAGTTTGGGAAAATGATGAACAGAGAAACGCAAAGGAGACACGCTAAGCCTTTACTGCTCCTCAAGTTAAGTGAACTCAGAATCAATAGTTCATTTAAAGTACAATGGAGTTTCTTTTGTATCTTGGATTTTTTAAAAACCCACACAACTACCTTCCACATGTTTTTTTTGCATGTAACAAATTGTTCATATGTCAAGTAGGAGGCAATTGGAAGAAACACAAAATAGTTGTCGAATAGAGTTTAAATAAAGTTCATTTTAAAATAATGCAGCCTTTTGAAATACTACAAGTTGAGAAATAACTAATACAGCAGGTGAATAAGATTTCTTCTGTTTGTTATTGGTACCATGGATTTCAAAACTCTTTTATATATCATTTTTAAAGAGCAGAATGGATTCTGCACAGATGTTGGCAACTGGGTGAATAACACAGATAGGTCCCAGGACATGCAGGGTACAAACCAAGCTTCTAAATTTCTTAGGACTCTTCTGTCTTTTCCACTTCAAAGTCTTCTGGACATCTGTGGACACTACTGCTACCCTCACATGACTGTAGGACTACTAAAATTCTTAGGATCTGGAATTTTATGTATTTAATGAGATTTTATCTAATAAATTGCTTTTGCAAACTATAGAAATACATACAAATATAAAGAATTAGTATTATAAAATATTTCTTCATTCATTAAGCTGGTCTTATCCTAAGTCTTTCTTGCCATATCTGAATTAATCAACAAATATTTCTGTGGCACACAGCCCATGTGTTCTGTGCCATGTGTCATTCTAACAGGAATTGAGAATATATAAAATGGAGCCCCTGCCGAAAGATTAGGCTAATCAATACTAAGTCATTGTAGAAAGACTAGACTCTCCATGGATGTTTAAAGGAAACGGGCTGAAGTGGAGGGGCAGGGATGATGACTTCAATTTGGGATGTGGTGGGTTCAAAGCATCAGAGCATCAAAGAGCTGTGGAGCGAAGCCTTCGAAAAGAGCTTGAAGAGAACCGAAGAGAGGGCAGAAAGAGGGGAGTCCTGACATTGGAGATGATAACTGAAGCTGTGCAAACTGAACAACTGCTGGAGAACAGGAGCCCTGTCTGAATCTCCTTTATTTCTTCTGATGTTGCTTACTCCTGGACACCGTAGGCACCAAATACCTATTTGTAGACATGTGTTTAACCTTATTTATGTGGAATGGTTGAATGAATAGACCAATGACTGGATATTAAAGACGACAAGGTGGTGAATCATCTAATGGAATACTGGGGCTCTAGGTGAGAAAGAGGACAGGGCTGAAGATGAAGAAGTGCTCCTCCTCTGTGTAGAGTTAACAATAGAAGTTATGGAGGAGTACAGAAGAGCAGGGAAGGGTCAAGCATTTATACCCTCATGCTCAAGGGAAGAGGACCACATGGAGCCAGTGATAGAGATACAAAAAGTGGAGGAAACAGTGAAGAACTAGGTTGGTATCATGTACTGAGGCCAGGGTTGGGGAAATATTTAATAAAATTGTTTGGAATAGCCTGCACTTATTGCATGATTACTATGTGCCAGGAACAAAGTACTGTGAGTACATTATCCTAAAGACTAAGTGCATTATCTCATGTTCTCAAAACAATCTTATGACATTGGCACTATTTTTATCCCCATTTTGTAGATGAGGCAATGTTGGTTAAGGGCGGCTACATAGCTTGCCGTGGGGGACACCAGCTAAACACATCACCAAGCCAAGACTAACCCAGTGTGTCTGGCTCTAGAAATCTTTGCCTTTTCAAATGAGGGATCAGCAGTGCCAGTCACAGTAGGGAGAGCTAGGACACTGAGGCCACACACACACACACACACACTCAGTTATTTAATTTGGAAGAAAGAGGCCACTGGTATTCATTGAGAGAGATCATTTTCACTACAGTGATGGAGGCAAAAACAAGGTGGTTATCAGAGATACAGGAAATGGATGGAGAGGAAATTAAGGCAACATGTAAGTTCAATTTTCAGCAAAAATCAAAACCAAAAACTTAAGGGGATTTAGGTGCACCTAAGTTCCTGATTGCTGATATTAACAAATATCACAGTAGAGCCAAGAAGAAAGTCACATTTAAATGGCTAGCAAAAAGGTTTACAGAAAGATGAATCGACACATACATACATCTCTGTATATAATTTTCACCTTTTTTTTTTTTACGATTGGCACCTGGGCTAACAACTGTTGCCAATCTTCCTTTTTTTTTTTTAAGGATTGGCACCTGGGCTAACAACTGTTGCCAACCTTTTTTTTTTTTTTTTCCTGCTTTATCTCCCCAACCGCCCCCGTACACAGTTGTATGTCTTAGTTGCAGATACTTCTAGTTGTGGGATGTGGGACGCGGCCTCAACGTGGCCTGACGAGCAGTGCCATGTCCACGCCCAGGATCCGAACCCTGGGCCGCCGCAGCAGAGCGTGCGAACTTAACCACTCAGCCATGGAGTCGGCCCCTAATTTTCACTTTTGAACAGCTATACAAGTGTTAGTCCTAAAGCCTGATATGCTAAATCAGGAGTAAGCAAACCACGGCTGTGGGTCAAATCTGCCAGCACCTGTTTTTGTACAGTCCAGGAGCTGAGAATGCATTTTACTTTTAACAGTTAAAAAATCCAAAAGCAGAATACTGTTTCTTGACAGATGAAATTCCAGTTTCACTGTCCACAAATAAAGTTTTACTGAGACACAAACATGCCATAGATTGTACATTATCTATAGTAGCTTTCTCACGACCCTGGCAAAGTTGAGCAGTTTCAAGAGACTTTATGGGCCACAAGCATAAGATATTTGGTGTGTGGTCCTTTACAGAAAAAGGTTGCTGACCTCTATTCTAAATCATCTCAATTATTTTTATTTTTAATACACATCACAAAGGAAATGCAATTATGTACCTGGCAAAGGTGCTTTATTAGTTCTCACGACAGGCATTTCTTTCCATGTATCTCCACCATTTTCATTCTCAGCTATCCAGGAATCAACAGTTAGACAAAACAGCTCACGTGTGTCTATATTTTCAAGTCTAATTTCTTCCAGATACCACCTGGGATCCTTTCCTCTGTTGTCATGTCCAATGCGTATTTTATAGATTTCACCAATATCTTTAAGATTAATCTGCAACACAAAGGAAAAGGGGAAATAAAACTTTCCACATCTCTGATTTGATTTTTCAAATTGCAAATTCATATTCAATTTTGAACTCAGTATCTACTTCCCCCTACATACTCCTTACTAATTTCCCTCAGAACTAGTCATCTGTAACACCATGAAATGCTGTTACATATGATGAAGCACAAATCCATTGACCATGGACAAACCAACATATTAAATCCAGCTAGTCTTCACTATATCTTTTTTCAGCAACTCACTTTCATTACCTTGCAAAATAAATGCTGTATTGTAATTGTTGATATACACTATTTATTTGGTGGTTAGACCTGAAGAAGACAATCTAATTCTCTAGTGTCTATAATAGATTGGATTTTCCCATTAAAGTGGGATCCTGAGGAAAAGAAGCCATATACACCTCTGGATTTAAACTAGGGCTAACCAGATAGCCCTGAAACAGAGTGACTTTGTATTAAAAAACTGAGTTTGCAACAGTTTTTAATGTGATTAACAAGTAATTCTGCCTTATACCCCTTTGCAACTCACCAAACACCTAGTTACCTGGCATGCTAAATGTTATAAAGTATCATTCACTATTCAGAATAAGTTATATTTTTCTCTTGAAAATTCCTACAGGGGTCATATAAAAAAATTTATCAATTATACGCTACATTATTTTTCTATTGCTGCCATAATAAATTATCACAAACTTAACACCTTAAAACAAACCCCATTTATTGCCTCCCAATTCTGTCAATCAGAAATCTGGCCACTGCAAGGCTCAACTGGGTCCTCTGCTCCTGGCCTCACAAGCTGAACGCAAAGTATGGGCTGGGCCAAGCTCTCCTCTGGAGGCCCTGAGGAGAATTCTGCTTCCACACTCATTCAGGCTGTCGGCAGAATCCAGTTCCTTGTGGTTGTAGAACTGAGGCCCCTGTTTCCTTGACATGTGGCCCCTTCATCTCTAAGTCAAAAACTGTACGTGGATCACTTCTCATGCTTGGAATCTCTGGCTTTCTCTCTGCTACCAGGAGGAGAAAGATGTTTGCCTTTTTTAGAGGCTCATACAATTTAGATCAGGCCCACCTGGATAAATCAGGCTAATCTCCTTATTTTAAGGTACTTAAATTACATAGTATGTGATAATATAATTAGAAACAATTTTATGTGCCTTCTTGTATTTTGTTTCTCTTGCCCCAGCTCCTCTTTGCCCTTTGGTATCACCATGAACATTCACATCACCAAAGAAAGTTAGTTCTTTAGTTTATGCAGATCTGCCACTTTTTCTACTAAAATATTTTTATTGATAATATAATTTTGGGTTGCTCTATTGGTGATAATTGTTCTGAATAATTTGGTCAGGGTGCATACAGACAGACTTCAACAGAGTTGAGGTAAATAGTTGGGCCCCTCCTGTTATTTCTAGAACAAAGTGGTTATAAAAATACTACCATGTAGAGAATCTTAATATTGGTGTTTAGTCCAGATGAGTGGCCTCCTACAATCCTCCCCATAGTTGCAGAGAGTGGGACACATGATAGGAAACAGCAACCATACTCCAACACACACCCTGAGGCAAAACTGTGTGGTGGCTAAAACCCCAGGTATTGCAATCAGATCTGGGTTTGAAAGTTCCTCTGCCCTTGCTGGTTGCATAAACTGCAGGAAGTTTCTCCACTCCTCTAAGCTTCAGGGTCTCCATCTGAGCACTGTCATAGTACCAATATCATAAAGTACCATAGCACTCAATAAGCATTAGCAGGTATTGTTATAGCAATCAAAATTGCGTGCTAATTAGAAAATGCCTAAATCTATGTAACTTAAAGACAAGATTAATCTAAAGACAGAGTCCAACACTCACAGAAGGAAATTAAAACTAGTATTTGGCCATAGTAAGTGAAGTTGAAATTGATAAACCCCATGCCTAATCCTGCTCGTAAAAATAGATATTTATTAACAATGACTAAATGGTGCCATGGCACAGAAACTAAATGGTTACTCATACCATGTGCACGTGGGTTAGCCAATTAAAATCAGAGCTAAAATGATTGTACCATAGCCTGGCTGGTGCTATAAATTGCTCCCAAATTACTTCTAACATGTTAGCCAAATTGCTTTCTAAATGTTAGTTCTGGTTTAATATAGGCAACCTGGGTCACCTCAGCTTCAGTCAAATGAAAATGCAATATGCCAAGAAATTATTCTTGCACATAATTTTTTTTTAGTTTTCTGCATTCAACTTCCTACATTTGAAAATACAAAAAAAAACCCCAGTGATTCCACAATGTAGGATGGCTTTTCATTATACAGATGGACCACATCATGGCTCAGTTTTTCTCCAGAAAGAGAATTATGCTTAAAGTAGTATACAGTCTCAAATTAAAAATAAAATTGTTTTCAATTTGAGGACCAAAGGATTGAGAGATATAAGGTCAGAAAGAGAAAGGCAGAAAAAATGTGGAAATAGAGTCTATTCCCACTGCTCTAATGACACATACTGAAAATTGTAATAATATCAGTAAGCTCCCACTACATACCCAGAACATGAAGATTAGAAAGAAGTGTTGCCTGAGAATGTCTGATTTATGTACTTGAAATTATTGAATACTTGAAAAAAGAGGTAAGTTTACACTGAATTTAAGGAAGGAAATAAAGCACTTTGTATATACCCATTTTTGGATAATTCTGCTTGTTGTATATACTACTCCAGGAACATTTTAAATGTGTACTAAGCAAATTAAACCAAGTGAACTTTTAACAAGTTCTTATTACATACAAACACTGCTCTAAGCAACAGATAAACATGAAAAAAGCAGCTCTCACAATCCATATGTGAGGACAGAGATGCGAAACAGAAATCCAATACATTCCAAGTGAGAAACAAGCGGAGCAAAGTACAACAAAAGTATGGGGCGATGATGCAGTGTAAGTAGGGCAGGTGGTCAGGGACCTGGACTTTGAGGAAGAAGCAGCATGTCCAGAAGGAGAGGAGAAGACAGGAAATGGCATGAGCAAAACCGAGAAGAATGAAAGTGCTTCCTAAGTCTGAGTTGATTGTTCCTGAAATTTTAAAATTCTAAAATTTATTCCACTTGAACAGAATCTAGTATACTTTCAGGTATAATAAGTACTTAACAAATGTACAAGCTGCTGCCAGGAAATGAACCTGGAACAGGTGTTGTTGCAACTACCTGGGGGTGGCAGTGTCTTCTCTGAAAACTCCAGTTTCCTCATTTGCAAAGTGGAGTATTAAGAATCACTTTGCTGGGAGGTTGTGAGGATAAGTGACACATTAATTAGCAAAAAAAAATGGGCAAATAAACACATAATAGGTCCTCAATAAATAGTGGTGATATTATTATTATTACTACTACTACTATTATTATTATTATTACTAAAGGGGGATCAGAATGAAGTAGGTGATGAATATGGTGGGGAGAAGGAAACTAAAGAACATGTACTTGAATTCTACAGGCACTTTGGTTTTCAATGGCTTTGACTCTCCAGCACTGAACTGGATGATCAGATGGGAGGAGAAGATAAGTCAAGGGAGACGAGTTCTCGCCATCCATCCATGTCCTCACTACCCAGCAGCATCACCAGGGGCTCCAAAGAGAAATGTGTCTCCAATGTGGAATTCCTGATGATGGGGTAGCCCAACTGTATCAGAGTACAGTTCTGGGAAGCAGGGCATGAGAGGAAAAACACAAGGCTTATCATATGAAAACCAGGCTGGAAGCTGGGTCCTCTCACTTCATTTCATGCTCCTGAGCCTCAAGTTCCTGTTTGTAAAAAGAGAGTCTCGTAAGGACCAAATCAGATAATCTTGTGAAAATACTTTGTAATTTATAGACTTATAGCTCATACAGGTCTCAGGACAGAGAGAAGGGTGGAGAGGTGTGGAGAGGTGGAGAGGTGTTATTCTAAAGAATAACCAGAAGGATTTGTACTGGTATCTTGTGTTCAGACCACCATGATCCTTTTTTAGAGCTCACTTGATGGAAATGGTTGGGAAAATTAGGTAGTAATTTGAAGGTTACTCAAGAAATAATTTGAGAATTCTCGCAAGAAGGAACATTTTCATTTGTCAACGAAAATCGAAATATTCTTGCAAGAAATAGCAGAAAAGACTCTCAAAGTTGAAAAATGAACTTGAACAAAATACAGTCCCTTTTCAAATTCCACATCAAAATGTATATCCTACATTTTCAAAGATGGAGGCGTTTTTTACACTAAAAGTTGCATAGCATATTAGTTCAGATACAGAACTATGAAGGAATAACTTGCATTTTCAGGGAAAACATGACTAGTGGATCTGTGAATATTCATACGAAAAGTTTATGGGCAAAATATTCCCTGTTCAGGTATCTATTTTCAGATGTAGCTCCTAATCCAGACATTTTTGCATTTGTAACTACTGCCCAGTTGGATTTTTCTGAGCTGGAGACACTAAATCTCCTCATGGAAAACTTCCATATTTTCTAAAAAATGGCAAATAAGTTATTTTTTAAAACTTTAATTCTATTCTAGAAGCAAATATCATGTTGTGTAAAGCCTATATTCTCTAGAATGCTTTCATAGTTTGGAAAAACACATTGTAACACAAATTAGCTTTGTGATCACTGAAATCTCATCTGGGATGTTTAATCTTAACTCAGTATCTCAATTCATACAGGACAGCCCATTTTACATTCATTGCCTTTCAAAAGAATATTATGCTTGAAAGCTTAGGACAGGAACGTGGAAGTATAGACTGGAAACTTGAGTCCTAATATGTTAGAAACATTGAAAATTATTAGGGTAAATTTTTAAGAGGAAATAAGTGACACCACCAAAAAGAGAGAAAAAAAAAAAGGAAAAACAACCATACACATAGACAATTTGTTAAATTGTGCAACATAAAAACGAGAATAAGGTGTTTTTCTCCTACATGCATCCTGGGTAAAACTTCTTGATGTTAATCAGCCCAAGTGTACCCTTCAAAGAGAGAAAGCAGGATACTCTTC